ATTTTTATTTTGCCCTCCCCAAGTGGGCTCAGGGTGGATTACAACAAGCAGAGTCAAAGACAATAAAATTACATTACATTACAATAATTAAAACATAAACATATATACATTGGAAGACAGGAATGCCAATTGACTTGCATGGGCTCCATTTTTTACATATATTTTTATTTTTAGAAAACAAAGTAATACTATAGAGGGACTACAAAAAGGGGAAGGGAGATTGTGTAACATAATTATATATATACCAATGATAATGATATATAGTACAGAGTGTATAAAACAGAAAACGTTTCTCCCCGTCTCCTTCATTATAATTTTTAAGACATTATCTATAAAATACAATGGTCCTTACTTCTGTTGTGGTTCTTTTATATTCAACATTTTGAATTTCAAATTTCATAACTGATCTATTTTGCAACTACATTATTAGTTTAATCATCACTACATATTCAATATTACATATTTCACCATTTCTACATACTCACTATAACTTTTAATATCTCAAAGTACAAAGGAAAATCTATTATATAGCTCATCATAGGAAAATAAAAGATGTTTCTGCTCATAATCTACAGGTTTAAAACACACATGATCAACAAACTCACAGCCAAATCTGCTGGAAAAATGCACCCTCTGCTATAAGTACTCCAGAAGAGGATTGCCCATAATTGTATAGTTGTGCAGACTTCCTCTTATCTAAAGGCAGATAAAAATGCAGCACCGCTCTGATCTATTCTGTTTAAAAGGATCTGAAGCCATAGCACAGCAGTATAATGCTTTTTATTTGAACCATCTAAAATATTACAAAGCACTGAGTGAGCCTTCCCATCAACTAGAACCCCAGGCCTTTTCACATGGCATTCTAGGAAGCTTTGCATGCCCTTGTGGCATTGTTACAGGAAGCCAGACTCTGCCCCCAGCTTCTGCACAGTCAGAAGTGTGTAGAAGTACTAAGCATATACAAGTATATGTACATGGGCACCTCTCTGTGGGACTGGAAATCCTGAGAAAGCAAATGTTTGAACACAGAGAAGACCTTCAAGTGAGTGTGTGAGAGTGGACTAGCAGCTGTGGGGCCACTCCTTGGGCGTCACACAGTAATGAGCAAAAGTTCACATTTACTGGAATTCTTCAGGCTGAATGTCTGGCAAACATACAAACAGAGATTCTTTGGAGTGCTGCAAAAAGTTCTAAGGACTCCCACACATGACTTCTGCCCTGTTTTACAAGGAGCTCATGTGTTCCATTAGTATGTGAATAACTGCTGGCTCATATTTTCCAAGGAAGACTAGCAGTTGTTTCCTTGCCTCAATAACATTTCGTGCAACCAGAAACACCTCTTTGCATTATTGTATGCTCTAAGAACTGAGTTGACATAAACCCACACTCATTTCATTTTAAGAGTGCAGACTAGAGATTTTTATCAGCAGCCTCTTTCTTTCTACCGTCTTTATGTAAGAGTGCCAGGAAATTCCAAAATGTACTTGCTACTTGTAGACAATTTAGTGGGTCCTAATAGTTTGGAATCTTCCTCAATTCAATAGTGCTATTGTTGTGACGCCTCATTTTCCCATCATTAAAAGTAATACTTTGTTGCTGGGAAAATGTGATTTGTTTGATTTTTTTTCTTCCTCTACTCCACATGAGACGGGTCAGTATCCAAGCTCTCAGTGGAAGCATCCTACTTTCTCTTCATAGTTCTCACGCTTCTGCCTGGGGATTATTGTGTGAAACAATGAAACACAAAAGTCAAAATAATGCAAAAAGGTATGAAAGCTCTTCACTACTCCATAATTCTTCATCAGCCTGGTCTTTAGAAAGGGGGAGGGGTGAAGAAGAAAAGTCCTTTCAGGTGAGGAAGGCATGTCAGTTTCAGGGTCATCATCACTGCATGCCAGTCTCAGGGTCAGAAACATTCTCTCTTTCTGATTTTCACCCCAGCACCCAGCAGAGGAGTTCTGAAGATCTCAAAAGCTTCTTGGGTTTTTTGTCATTTTGACTAGCCCTAATAAGAATGACCTCTGCTTTTAGATCTTGCTTCAGACCATTACAGCCACTTCTCTACTAAAAGGGTGCGATCTTTTAAGGAGTGCCCACGGCCCAGAAATCTTCATTAAACAGCATGAATTAATCCCATGAAAGGGCGTCCCTCCCTCTGCAAGCATTTCCAGTCCGGGATAGGGAGCCGGGTATTGCTTCCAAGTTCAGAGAAGAACATGCATTTGAGAATACTTGTAATGGCTCAGTAAACAAATAATCCGTCCCGGATTGCCCGTTTTGGGGTTGGATTCTCTCCCAAATCAATATTAACGTCAAGGAAGTCAAGTATTAGGTTCCCAACGCTGAAAGAAATGTCGAGTCTACTTTTGGCTCGTCGTAATGAGAAACGGCGGCCAAAATGAGAGAGGGGCGTCAAAAGGCTTCTGTTTGGAAGGAAGCTTTAGGCACACACGCTCCTCTCCGGGGCTGGAAGGGCGAGACCGGCGCTTCAAGCGGGCGGACTCCGTCCGGCGGGCGCACCTCGCCGCCTTCCTCCCCGCGGCGCAGAGGGAGCGCTCTTAAGTGGGGCTGCTAAATCATTCATATCCCTGATTCCTGCTCCGGGCAATTTGCTCTCTAATTGCTCCTGCGCTGCGTGCATTGATCGGGGGAGAGGGCTGGGTCGGAACGGAAGGCAGAGAGTCTCCCAAGGAGGTGACTGATTTATCGAGAGTCCCCGTTCTTCTCTCCTCCACTTTCCCCTTGCTTTGGGAGCCTCTTTCTGCCGCTATTTTAAGGCAGACGCACGCAGCTCGGCACCTGTTCCCTCTGATCCGAAGAGCAGCTTTGACAGCTCTCCTGTCAACGTGATCCCTTTGCTTGCTTAGGTGGAGAGTTTTCCTCCTTCGCCCCCTTTCTCTTGCTCCGTGCTGTGCGCTTAAGAGGGAGCGGCGCTGAGCGGATTCCTCCTCCCACCCCTGCTCGGCTCGAAGAAAGCAGAAACCGCTCCTTTTAAACTTTGTGCGTCTCTGTCTGTTGGTTTGCCTTGACGGCAGCTCCGGCATGCCGGGCCAGATCTGAACGAGCTTCTCTTTCTCTTTTCTTGGTGCCTCAGAGGATTTGCGGTTTGCTCTCTGGGCTATGGCTGAATCAGGACACCGCGAGGAAGACTCTGCAGTGGACGAGTTCAATGATATTATCAAGAGCAGATCTGGTAGGGTGACATCGCTGACTGTTTTTGCAGATGCACAATGCAGTGTTGCAAGGGAAACAAAACTCCGACTCTTCTGTTATTGGGGAATGACTTCTTTGCACAGGGAGAATGCTGGTTCAGAAGGGACTGTTAGGAAAGTTTTCCCTCAGGGGCAGCTGCCAGAATTACTTTTGCCAAGTTGGACTGTACTAGTGCTGTGTGTGCAATACCTCGTGGAAAGCCATATGCATGTTCAGTGTCTTCCTCCCCCTGGTCAAACAACATTTACTGTTGACACTAATTTCATTTTACTTTTCTTGCAAAGGTATAAATGGTGGTGACCAATGTGAGTAGGGAATGTTGGGGGCAAATTAGTTTGTTGGTTAGTTTCTTTTTGGAGAAAGAGAATGAGTTAGTGTTTGTGGAAAGGGGGGAAAGGCAGCTCAGATGGTAGATGGAGATTTTGTTGACATTTTGAAACTTTTTAGTAGATCTCAATGGTTTTAGGAATCTGTCCTGAGTTATTGACTTCATGTCAAAAGTGTGAGAGTTCGGCTTTAGCACCAGTGTGGCTGTGGCAAACGTGACTTTCTGTCCTGCTTTTGTGTACTCCAACAGCCCCTGCTTTTAATACACTCATTAGATTGTGGTGCCGTTTGTGTAACAGGGCCAGGCCATTAAAGCTGTAAATGGAAGCAGCTGGAATGTTTCTCCACAGGATAAAGTTTCATTTGCCTGGGCTGCCTCCCTGACTTTAGCCTTGGAAAAGAACCAGTTCCTGGGCAATGCAGGCATTTATAGTTCATTCAGAATTCATATTTTTGCAAGGGGAAATACACACAAGAGTACTGAGGTACTTAATTATTTTTGAAAAGTTATCCACTTGACAAGATGAACAGAAAGGAGATTAATGATGCTGTCATTTCTCCTCTCCTAGGCATATTGTGTGAGTTTTACTGTGGGAGTAGTTTGTCTGATTTCAGAACTCAAATTCAGAGGAGTAAAATTGAAGAGGGTTGTAACTATTCAAGATCAGTGAAGCTAAGGCGATAAAGAGGAGCATGCATGTTGCCAGTCCTTTGCCTAATTGATGCTGGGTGTGTAAAACCAAAATCTTACCTATGTGGCATTCCTAACTGTTAGTTATTTCATTTAAACTGGGCATCCAGTGTTGCAATGCCAAGGAGCCAGTGTCTGGGCAGACACCATGTTGCCATGCTCATCCTGCATGTGTAGCTTTCTGTTATCTAACATCTTCTTCTGCCTTTTCTCAGAAGAGTTCAGGGCACCATCTCCATTTTCTCTTCATAACCACCCTTTGAAATAGGTCAGGCTGAATAAAAGTCTCTGTCCCACAGCCTCCTGGAAAGCTTCATAGCCAACTGGGGATTTGAACTCAGGTCTTCCTCACTGCCATGTGTCGTAACTGAGGGCCCAATTCAAGCATGAAACTGACTGTATGAAACACTGTGCAGATAGGTATTGTTTCCTCTCCATTTAAGCACCTGAAGTCCTATTTAAATCACACAATATCTCTCACTGGCAACCAGAAACTTTCTAAAGCTTGTTGCTAGATTTTGGGGTGAGCAAAGTTCAGCTTGACTGGACTTTTGCTACACTTAATTCTTACTTTTAAGAGTAAAACTTCTATCTATGTTGTGCCTCACATCCTCTTTCATTCTACATGGCACTTTGCATATGCATTTGAGGGCTCATTGCTACACTCTTAGATTGGTGGGTACCTTGAGGGTTTTAACAACAAAATTATATTGGTATGTTAGTCCCATGTACATCTCAGGTTACTGTCCACAGGTTGCTGGGTTTTGCTAGAGAATCGGGACACTTCTAAATAAGGATGATAACTTTGCTATAGTTTACAATATGTGATTTCTATCTTGGGGTGGGAGAGATGAGTCGAGAGCCTTTACAGGAGCTATGGACTCTTACCTCAAACCTCAGATTCATTTACTGGAAGCAAAATGGTTTCCAAGGTTCATCTCACCAATTAACTGGTTGCACAAATAGATCCACACCATAGAAAACATAGGATATTGCAACAGCACTACACTGTCGTAGAAAAATTTGATCTCTAAGAGTACATATTTTAAAGGCTCAGGTAGATTAGTTTCAGGAATATAAATCTATGTATTCTTACTTGAGAGCGAAGCTTAATTCTAGGTAAGCATGTCTAGAATTTGGATCCAGAAATGATAAAAAAAACAAGATTGTAGTACTGGTAAACTGGGAGAGAGAGTCTGGAACTAATGAGTGAAAAATAATTTGTATGGAAACCATTGATAATTAAGAATTGGGTGCTGGCAAAATAAGCAATGACATTAGTTGGGGTTGCTAGAGAAGACTGGCAACATGTCTTTCAGCACTGGCATGATGTGGGAGCTTGGTGGTCATGCAACTAAATTGTTTGGTAACAGATCCTGGAAAGACAAATGAAAGAATTTTCTCACAAAACGTATCAATCTATTAGAATACACTGCCATAAGATACAGTGATGATCATAAGCTTAGATGGTTTTTCAAAAGGATTAACTTAATTAATGGATGGTAGTTGTATCAGCAGCTAGTAACCATCTTAGGTCAATCGAACTTCTGTCCTCAGAGGAAATTTAGCCCTGAAAATCAGTTGCTGGGGGCAGGCGTCTGTAGCAGGCAAAGGCTTGCAAACCTGCTGCAGGCTTCTCAGAAATGTGTGATTGGCCACACTGGGAAACAGGATGCTTAGCTAGGTGGATCCTCGGTCTGATACAGCAGGGCCTGTCTTAGGTACAGTGGCTGCAGTTTCTGCTGCCTGTTACCCCACTTTCTACCTCCTTCCTCTCCATTGACTGTAAAGAGTAAGTCTTCAAATGATCCAAACATCAGATGGGAAAGGGTGACAAAGATGGGGGGGGGTTGAATATGAGAAAGTTCTGGCAGGTACTGAATCTCCCAGATCACTGGAATGTTTGCATACATCTCCAGTCTGTAACCTGGCCAATCTTTTACTATTGGTGAAGGAGCAAAGTGTTTTGGAATTGTGGAGACTTCTAGACACCCCGATGATCATGGAAATTCAATGCTGTATAAGCACCTGGATCATTAATCCTACAAATATGAGGAAGTTTCTATAAAACTCTGACTTTTTTGTAACCTGAGCTCCTTGAGCTTCCTCTTTATCTACTACACAAACTTAACTGTGGAGTGTGAAAGAAGTCCTGTATCACTAAAAAGAAAGCCATATTAAAAGTCTCTGAAACCAGAACTTGTGACATGAAAAACTGCATGACTGTAGGCTGGAAGAGTTGGACAAGGAGAGGACCATTGATTTGTTCTCCAGCATAGCTTTCTGATCCAGTATTATATTATTGTCCGGAAGTGTCACTGACTAATTTTGAAGACTGAAACATATATTTCTGTGGCTCTTGGATGGGAAAGGATACAAAGAAACCTATTTAAAGGCTACAGTAATAACTATGGATTTATGCATCAGACTAAATGAGAGGCCGTGGTCACACAGCAAGCTTATCCCAATTTGTTACCACTATAGATTTGATCGGGAATATTTCTTTCAGATTGGGGTGATAACACATCCCTCCCTAAACTGCTTGCATCGCACAATGAGGCCCTGGGCATCGTCCAGATAGCCACACTGCTAAAGCAGCCGTGTGGCTTGTTTGGTTTTTTTTAATGGTTTTGCACATGTGCATATACACATGACTGAATCACTGCTCCCATTGGGACTTGCCATACTCCCTTGTTTTTACACGTCCCCCCCAACAGCGAACAAAATTAACTGGCAACCTACAACTGAGCACTGGAGTCTGTATGTGAGCTTGAACGTTTATATATTGAACTTATTCAGCGCAGGATGGCTCATGTGCACAGCAACAGAAGCTTGGGGGGGGGCATCGCAAGAAGTACGTTCAGGCAACCTAATTGCAATCATTGCGAGAGATGGCTGTCCAGATTGGTGAAATCATGGATTCAAAGCGCAAATATTCGGAAAGTACTTGATTTTCCAGGTGTAGGAAAACTCACTAGGGAACCATAAGTGAGCCCACTTGGGTGCCGGAGATGGATGCGGGCGTCTGATCAGCAATTTTAAATGTGAGAGGGAACAGTGGTGAAACCCGATCAAAATGACCACGGCCTTAGTTTACGCCACAGTAGAAGGGTTCATAATAGTATTTACTGTAGTGAGGACATCTGAGAGTAACAGAGGGCTTGGAAGTCCATTTCTACTATACCAATGTGATGTAAGATCTTGCAGACCGATGTTCAAATTCCCACTCTAATATGAAGCTCCTGGGTGTCCTTGGGCCAGTCACACATTCTCAGCCTAACCTCACGGGGGGTGTTTGTGATAACAAAAAGAGACAACAATGTATGCTGCCCTAAGCTCCTTGGATAAATATGTATCAAGTACACATTGGATAAAAGATACTGTACTATTCAAGGAGAGACTCTCTCCCCCCCCCGCCCCCATATTTCGGCATTACATATAGTGGCTTCCTTAAGTATTTATCTCTTTATTTTCCCTTAATAGCTAAATGCCACCAAAGAGTATCTGCAAAGGAATTAAATGAGTTATATAGCCCATGCCAACAAATCCCACTGAGTTCACTGATGTTTATTTTTTATTTTTTAATTAAATTTATAGCTCGTCCTCCCCGCAAGTGGGCTCAGGGCGGCTCACAGATAGGGCATAAATGCCAATAGTTAAAACAGTTAAAAATAAGATAAAACAGTTACAGCAATACAAAGTGCTCAAGATGTTTCAGGAAAGTCTTCAGTAACAAGATGGCTTCCTGGGGATAGCAGTCCCAGTTCAGTGGTATCAGATCCACGCAGTGCTGTAGTTCATTTAACACAGGGCCATCTCACCCCCCGATGTTACCCAACTCAGTTGTTGTTGGTGGTGGAGGTAGTGGTGGGGGTAGTGGTGGCTCCTACTCGAAAGCCTGGTGGAAGAGCTCCCTCTTGTAGACCCTGTGGAACTGCGCAAGGTCCCGCAGGGCCTGGATC